AAAAAAAAAAAAAAGGAATAGAAAAACTCAACAATCTTCAGCTGCCGGACTGACGCAAACTCTTAACAATGGAGAGAGCAACACCTGTACGAATGCCCCACACCTCCACCGGCGATCTACCGACGTGGTCGGATGTCCCGCTGGCGAACAACTCCGCCGCCTCGACCGCCGCCTCTGGCGATGGATCTCACTCCGGCGAACAACTCCCACATCTTCCGGCGAAATGTTGAGAAACACGGAGAAGAGGGAAAAATGGCTTTTATCACGTGCCAGTTTAAGTGCCATTTTGATGAACAAAATGTGCTTGATGGAGCCCAAAGTAATCCGATTGTTCAGGTGAATTTGAACATTTTCCCTTCTTTTTATTTTTTTCTATTACTACTCAATTCTCTCTCAATATTTCACATATTTGTTGTACCAAATATTGTCAAATTGCCATCCTTTGCTTCAGAGTTACCATAGTGTAAGAGTGATTGGATGAGGATTGGAGGTATAGAATCATAAAAGAAAAAAGAAAAGAAAAAAAGGAGATTGGGGAGAGGATTGCTGTGGGCTACAGTTATTTCTTTGAAAAACAATAGAAAACATTAATAAAGAACTTTTGAAAGATAAAAATGAAATTCATTTTATAGATTAACACTCTTCCCTAGATGGAAATTCATTTCTATGAAGTCCACGCTTTCTTTCTATATATTGAATTTTCTTCTTTTCACTCTAAAATATTTTGGTTTAAGGGAAGACGTATTAGTAACTGCTTCCACGACTCAAACCCGTGACCTATAGGTCACACTGAGACAACTTTTTCCACAACTCAAACTCGTGACCTATAGGTCACACGGACCGTTGTTCCAAGTTTCCTCTTCGTACATTTACACTCATGTGGCTTAATATTGTATATCCTTAATTGAAGTTGTGACCCATTTTATAAAGTCAACTCTTTCTTTTTTATATAGAATCATTTGGTGATACCATGCCAACGTGGTTTATAAAATACTAACACCCATGTGGCTCATAAATATTATATTTCTTAATTGAAGTTGTCATCCCATTTAACAAAGTCAAGTCTTTCTTTCCTTATATATAAAATTTACTTGATGGTAACATGATCGTAGACACGATTTTAGCAACTCAGAGGTATGCCATCTTGTTTGTTATCTCACATCTTTCTTTGATTTATTAATCTCCAATCCTCATAGACCAGCTAATGTGAAGGTGCTATATAATTAGAGACGGAACTATAATGAAACCTATGGTTTACGTGTGAACTCAATAGCTTTTACCCCGATCTTATATATGTTTTGAGAAATCTACTAGATATCTATAAATATTTGAGAGCTATTATTATATACTCCCTTCGTTTTAATTTATGTGAACCTATTTGACTGGGCACGGAGTTTAAGAAAAAAGAGAAGACTTTTGAACTTGTGGTGTAAAATGAGGCACATATATTTTGTGTGACTATAAATCACTGCAAAAAGGTAAATTATTTCCAAATAAAGAAAGGGTCATTCTTTTTGGTACGGACTAAAAAGGAAATAAGTTTATATAAATTGAAACGGAAGGAGTATTAATTTGAGGCCGTTGTAGGAATCCATAAACTTATAACCAACATGGCTTATAATATATTATGCCGTATAATATTATATTCTCATGGAATTCACATAAAGTCAACTCTTTTGTTCTTTATATAGAATTCACTTGGTAACTTGGTTGCCTAAACCTTTGCAGCCCTTCAGAGTTATGCTATTTTCCTTTCTTTTCTCAGTTCCTTGTTCTCTTGATTTTATGTTGGTTACGCACTGTATCTTTTGTGTGCTTTACCCATTTGTTTGTTGATATTCATAACATAATTGTGTATATTTGTTGCAGTGATTTTGCTGCTTCCCAACTCTCCTGTATTGCTGATCTGCCATTGAAAGGTTAGTTGCCCTTAATTACTCTTGTTTAATGTTTTACCTCCTTGCACTATATATATATATAGTACAAGTTCATTGCTTAAATGGTCATTAAAAGGGCAGCCCGGTGCACCAAGGTCCTGCTCTGCGCAGGGTCCGGGGAAGGGCCAGACCGCAAGGATCTATTGTACGCAGCGTTACCTTGCATATTTGCAAGGGGCTGTTTCCACGACTCGAATTCGTGACCTCCTGGTCAAATGGCATCGACTTTACCGGTTACGTCACAGCTCCCCTTCGCATAAATGGTCATTGAATTTTTGAAAATTGGGGAATGAAGTCATATTTATCTTTTGAGAAAAGTCCCTTTCAGAAAATGCATAACCATAGAGGTCCTAAAAGTTATATCAAGATGTTAACGGGAAAGAAAAGCGGGGAAATAATAGTTTTGCGATTTGAGACTGTTACAGAGTTTCTGTTGCTCGTATATTATAATATTGTTATGGTTTTTATTTGCAATGTATTTGTTTCTTTTAATCTATTGAGAAAAGTACCTAAAAATTAGTAATAATACATCAACATTTGCAATTCACTTCTGAAACAAAAACAAATCATTATTGGAATACAACATGAGCTAGCATCTTACTAATATTTCAACGTGGAAATCTATTGCTTAATTTCTATTTGGAGATTTAATTTGTCCTGAAGTTTCATGTATAGTTCCATTTCCGTATATTACTGATTGAAAGTGCCACTAAAGAGAACTTAGGGTGCATTATGTGGCATAATTTTTTTTAATATTATGCCGAATATTAATACTAAAAATTTATGCCGAATATTAATACTATATTTGTTATCGATGTACTTTAGAAAGTTTTTTATCACAAAGAATAGTAAAAACTAGAGAAATTTTATGGGTTACTATTAAAGTCATACTCATATTGCACAAAAATTTGTAAAATTTACTCACTTCAGGTTTGAGAAACTTGAACTCCAACAATGGAGGTTTTCTAATATCTTCGGTGTTCGCCTTACGTTTTCAGCAATGAAATGTACCTCAAAATATCAGTAAACCCAACAAAACTCGTAGATCCAATAGCTACTTTAACCATGAATTTCGATCCACTCTTCCAATCCAGCAATAAGGATTTTAACAATGGAGCTTCGGTGTTCTTCGAGTTCGAAGATCCAACTCAAATTTTCAAACTAGAAGTGAGTCATTAATATACAAAGTCAGCCAAACCGGATAAGAACAGGAAGGAGCGGATGCATCATAGGAATACCGGGTTCATCTGAACCCAGTACTTTCGACATAGAGCACAAGTTTATGAATAAAAATTTAAAGTTATAACAAATAGTAACTTCGAACCCATAACTTTAAAAATATAATAGGTTTATTACTAAAAACCTGAAAGGTTGAACGCATAAGAGATAATCCAGCAGCTAATGCATCCCGGACAAAATGGCAATCTACCTCGATATGTTTGGTGCGTTCATGAAAAGACCGGGTTCCTAGCAATGTGAACAACTGCTTGATTATCACAATACACCTCAACGGGACAGAGATTTTCAACGCCAAGTTCACCTAATAGCCTGATCAGCCATGATATCTCAGCTACCAACATCCTTAAGGCCCTATATTCAGCTTCGGCAGATGATAATGCTATGGTGGGCTGCTTCTTGGACTTCCAAGAAATAGGACAACCACCAAGTGGCAGAACAAAACCAGAAACATAGTTTCTACTATCAGAGAAGCTAGCCCAGTCAGAATCAGAGTAACCTTTCAGAGAAAAATCAGCACTATTGTTCAAGAATATCCCCAGCTCAGATGTGCCAGCTAAGTACCTTAATACATGATAACCAGCCTCCAAATGAGGTACTCGAGGAGCAGACATAAACTGACTCAGATGTTGTATTGTGAAAGAAATATCCGGACGAGTATGTTGTAAGAAATTTAGTTTACCCACTAATTTCCTGTAGACAGAAGGGTCAGGAATCAAGGCACCAGACTCAGCAGAAAGTTTGACATGAGGATCTAGAGGGGAAACAATAGAGCTGACTGCAGAACATTTAAACTCAGTGAGGAGATCTAAAGTAAACTTATGCCGACTAATCAAGAAACCTTGAGGTTGCTTGACGATCTCAAGGCCAAGAAAATAATAAATTTCTCCAAGATCTTTAATGCGAAACTGAGCATCAAGGAACTGCTTAAGTGCACTAATTTCAAATAAATCATCTCCAGCCAGCAAAATATCATCTACATAGACTGCAACAATGGTGAAGGTGGACCTTGAGAACTTCCTAAACAAGGAATAATCATTCAAGCTTGAATGGAAACCCTTGGCTGTAATGCAGAGGAAAGCTTGGCATATCACTGCCTAGAGGCTTGCCTCAAACCATAGACATAGAGTGACTTATTTAATCTACAAGCTAAAGAGGTAACATGAGTAGAATTAGAAGGTGTGACTGTAAGACCTTGGGGAATTTTCATGAAAACTTCTTCATCCAAATCCCCATGTAAAAAGGCATTATTGACATCAAGTTGGTAGACAACCCAATTCCTTTTAACAGCCACTGATAAGAGACATTTAATTGTAGTTAGCTTGACTACAGGAGAAAAAGTGTCAGTAAAGTCTATATCCTCTTGTTGATTATCCCCCCTTATTACTAACCTTGCTTTATACCTCTCAATTGACCCATCAACTCATTGTTTAACTTTGTACACCCACTTATAGGGAATTGCTTTCTTACCAGCAGGTAAAGGGACTATATCCCAAGTCTGATTGGCTTTCAAGGCCTGAAATTCCTTCATCATAGCTTCCTGCCAAGCAGGTTGAGAAGCAGCCTGATGATAGAATTGAGGCTCTTGCAAGTAACCTTCAGAAGATACAGAACAAACACTAGGAATAGAGACAGAGTTGCAAACATAATCACCAAGGTAAACAGGAGGATGGGAAGTTCCAGTGGATTTTCTTAAGGCAGGAACAATGGAAGATGGGATAGGAACTGGAGAGTGATTCAGAAGAGGGGATGGAGAAGGAGAAGGGGAAGGGGAGGAGGAGGAGGAGGAGGAGGAGGAGGAGGAAGAAGCAGTAGAAGAAACAATCGGATTAGAAGTAGTAACATCAGGAAAAGAAACAGGGGGAGAAGAAGAAGGAATAAAAGGGGGAAAAAGATGCGCAGAGCTAGGAGTAGAATAAGGAAAAATATTCTCATGAAAAATAACATCTCTAGAGAAAAAATGTGAGAATTAGAGAGATTGAGAAGTTTGTATCCCTTCTTCCCAGGACTGTAAAAAATAGAAGTAATAGTTCTAAATCTAAATTTATCCCTATATGACTTGGAACAACAGCAAAACAGAGGCAACCAAAGGTCTTCAAGTGAGAGATAATATGTGCATGGCCATGGAGAAGTTCAAAAGGTGATATGTTTTTCAGCTATGGTGAAGGAAATCGATTGATCAAATATGTGGCAGTTAAGACACATTCCCCCAATATTTAACAGGCAATTTGGACTGAAAAAGAAGACCCCTAGCAGTTTCAAGAAGATGTTTATGCTTCCTTTCCACAACACCATTTTGTTGAGGTGTGTGTGGACAGGATGTTTGGTGCAAAATACCATTGGCAGAAAAGAAAGATATAGTTGTGGAACTAGACCCTAATTCAAAAGCATTATCAGACCTCACTACTTTCACTGATGAATGAAATTGTGTTTGAATCATGAATATAAAAGATTGCAAAACAGTGAAAGCACCACCCTTAGAAGACAAAAGGTGAGTCCAAGTAGCTCTAGAAAAATCATCCAAGGAGAAGCAGCTTGAATTGTAGACTGACTCTCATCATTCATAAGCATAGTATAGACATTATCTACATCAAGCAATGGCTTTATGAGCAGAATGTTGCGCCTAATTGTGGAGTAGGACTCATTGAGCCCCATTAAAAACTGATGAACTTTTTGATCTTCATCTAATTTTTGATATCCTTCTTTACACCCACAAACACAGTCTGGATAGGAAAGGGAGAAGGAAAGCTCATCCCACAGTTTCTTAATTCTGTTGAAATATGAAGAAATACTAGCTGTTCCTGGGAAATTGAGGAGATCTCCTTTCGAATTTGATAAATCTTTATTCCACTCGCCTGACCAAACCTCTTTTCAATCTCATTCCACAATTTTTCAGCAAACTCAGTGTACATAACAGTCTCCCTAATTTCTCTATCTAAACTGTTGAGGATCCAGGCTACAACCATATCATTACATCTAATCCAGGGCTCAAATAAAGGAGAAGTAGGACTAGGTCTCAGAATTGTGCCTTTAATGATTCCCAACTTGTTTTTACAAGACAATCCTAGCAACATGCCCCTTCTCCAGCTGTACCATCAAAAGTCGTAGAAACTAGTACGGTACCAGGTGAATCAGAGGGAAGTAGATACAAGGGAGATGAGTGAGGCACAGCAGAATCATCACTGCTAATAGCATTGGTCTCAGAGGTAGATGTTGGCCCCATAGTACCCAAATAAAGATGGACTCACAATCAAACAGAAAAATGCCAAAGAAATACACAAAGGTAAGAGAGCAATACCGATTTTCTTCAAACGCTTGAAAATCTATGAGATTTCTGATACCAAAATTGGTATCTACTCGACAATTGACAGAGAATTAAGCAGAGAGAGAAGAAGAATGAAGGGAGAAGAAGGCAGAAAAGGCTAGAACAATGAGAGGGGATTTCGAATTTTCATTAACACTCAAAAGTACCTAATAGGAGATTACAACTTGCTATTTATACTTCTCAATAGTCTACTGAAATTACAAAAACAAAGCAATGGAAATGAGCTAAAACATGCTAACCGAATTTCCCGCCAAAAGCTAACATTCAAATTTTAACTAACAACTAACATAACTAACTTTCAAATTAGTCTACTCATCAGTTGATGTGGCATTATGAACTTCATGCATTTTGTGTATCAATACCCCCTTGTTGAAAAACACCCTTGTCCTCAAGGTGAAGGAAGGAAATCTGGTCCTAAGGA